CAACAGTTTGAGCTCACCAGCTAAATTTCAACCAATGAAAGAAAAACACTTTTTCGATATCAAATAATTAGAAAATGAACGTTTTTTTGATGTCAGATACTGAAAGAATGAACACATTTCCGATCTCAAAAATGAAAAATTGTTTTTGATCTCAGCTAACAAAAGAATGAACACGAATCCTATCTCAGTTTGCGGAATTCACGCACATTTAGCTGAATCAGCTTGCAATTGCGGAATCCAGAACAACTAGCTATATATGCTCGTTGCAGAATCCGCAATAAAATCAATGTGCCGACAATTTTTAAACTACAGGTATTTGTACGCCGAATCTACGGAATTGTTGTAAGTGGAATTCTAGAACTTGTTTAATTAATTGTCTCTGGAATCCAAGAATATACAGACACCGAATTGTTCGCCTATCCAGTGCAAAGTTTGACTCCGTAGTGATACATGTTTGGGGAAGCCATTTACGGCATGTAATTTAGGAGGGAGATTGAAAACTTGATCCCATTTTTAGATTTTTAAGCCTAATCGACCCTCCAGATTGTTTGTTCCTACGCATTACTAACCTTTTTTGTTTTAATTAGTTCTGTAATTATGTCGTTTACCTTTTTCTAGATTTATTTCTTCTTTTTACTAGCAAAGCTTACTTGTTATTCTGAGAGCCTATCGTTCGGCTCATACCAGGCCCCCCTTCAACATCTGCTGAAAGTTATCATCCAAAAACTTCGGCTCTACCATTTCATCTCAGCAGATGTCAACGAAAGTCTCACTGGGTAACTGTTTTTTCTACGAGGTCGTTAAAATAGTAAAAATATAATTGTAATTGTAATTATTTGCATGGTTATATTAATCTTAATTTTTTATCATCGTGGATTTTTATTTCGTCTTTTATCCTTCTTTCGTTATTCTCCAATTTACTATTTTTCAAATTATTTTGTTCTTTCTTTCTCGTGTCCTCTGATTATCGATGTAGAGCTTGCCGGAAAGCAAAGGAAAAGACTAAAAGTTAGTTCTGAATGCCTAAAACCTGTTTGAAAACATGACGTTTTAGTAACTTCATAAATCGAGTGAGGTTAATTTCCTACCAACAACTTACCTGATAACTGTCATTGAAAGGTATGGTTGACCTCCGTGCTCCAGTTCTTAATTTTGTTCGTTGTGTCAGGAAAGAAGTCACATTGACGAAAGTTGGTTTAGCCGCGTAACTTTCATCTTTATAAATTATTTCAAATCTAAGGTAAAGAAGGCGTGGCTATGACAGTAACTTAATATTAAAATTTTCTGCCAATTTTTAGGAGAAAAAAAAGAGAACAAAAGTTTTAAACATGAAAGAATACAAGTGGAGGCATTCAAATCTTTCAAAGGCTCCAAATGTCAAAATTGTTCAAAGCATCCTTTCAAAGGAAAGGTTCACAGTTTCACAAATAATCCATTCCAACTGTAAAACACTAATTAAGCGCTAAAATGGGTGAGACTTTGCGTGGTGAACAAATTAACCATTCTGGCTCTTTTTCCTTTTCCCCCACCTCTGTAAATTCATGTAAATTTGTTGACCACATTGTCCGATTGTTATGAAAATTTACAAATAGACTGATAAGGCCACAACAAACATATTTGGTCTTCATATTCAACCTCGTAAAACCACTCGTTACACTAATAAGTTGAAACTGGCGTGAGGTGGGGGGAAAGGAAAAAGAGCCCCAATTCTAAACATATTGTTCTTCATTCTGTACAAATTCATTCGCAATCGCGCATTCGTTTGCAGTAGCATGTAAAAGTACACTGAAAACGGAAATTTTGAAATTAAAGAGGGGGACGAGAAACCATTTTTTAAATCAAATTATGTACGGATTTGTTATCAGAGCAAACTCAAAGAAGTGACGGGTCCCTCTTTTTTCAACTGATCCTAATTTGTGACTACAAAAACGCATGTCGACTAGAAAAAAATAGAACCATATTGGGCTCGTTTAAAAAAGTTTCTAGCATCACAGTTTTTCAACGTAGTTTTATGATTAAACGCGCAATTTTTCGAAGCAAAGTTTCACAATAGTAACTGTTCACCATGAAAAATTTCATTGCTTTATGAGATTGCTAAAACAGTTTTTCAAAATTGAAGTTCGATTCTGAGGGGAAAGTCGAAAAGAGCCATACACTTGTTTCAGCCTAAGAATAAAATTCTTAGATAAAATAAATAAAAAAGAACCACCGGCAAATGGAAGTGTTTTATGGGTTTTTGCTATTTTGATATAAAATTCAATCAAATACAGAAATGTTTTTTTTTCAGATCAATTACAATCATACGGAACTTTAGTCATTGTTTCGCATCGAACATTTAGAGTGGGGTGGAAATTTGTCTTTGTGTTGTACATATTAACTGATTTTTCACGCAAATCAGATAGCAAATAGTATTCAGACTGGGTCGATTTATCATAGTGAAGCCCTTATACTTTCGATTCGAACGACCTTAATTTTCTTCAGATTTGTCCGAGTGTTGAGAAAAAACTATTAGTTGTTTTTGAGTCTTAGTCTAATTTTGAGCGACTGAAACGATCAAGTATTGTTCGTTATAACAAATAAGGTTGGCCATTAGGGCTAACAAATCTTGTTTTACTTGATTTCACAAAACGAAAACTACTTTTGAAAGCTAGTTTCTGCGCTTTTTGACAGTAAACGTTTTCTTAAAAAATTATGCACGAAAAATTAGAAAAAGTTTTAGACAAATGTTTTTGATTTTTGGTTATTCATTTTTTTTTTCAGAAAATAATCTCGATCTTGCCTAATTTTAAAAAGGTGTACGCGATTACATCAACTTTAAGGAAAAAACCAAATTTTTGCAGTTTTTGTAACTTTGGTCGGAATTATCTGTGCTACCTGCGCAGAAACCGGTTAACCCTGGTTTGTATGCTGTCGCAGAGCAAACTTAAATACCACAAATGCACAGTAGTAAAAATTGAATGATCCTTAATGGTAGACTTTTTAAATTGTTATTTTAAAAGTTTATACCAAAAACTTGATGTTTCCATTAATTATTGTTTTTTATTCATCGTTTTACAAAATTAATCTAGTCGAAAACATGATGATGCACATAAATCAATCATACCAGAAGGTTGTAGATGAAAGCCAAATTACCATGCAAGCCTTACACAAAGTAATCGGGCCCATGAGACAGAAGTAGTTGTGCTTGACACCACTTGTGGCTCTGCTTCAGACCATCCCTATCTGCAATTTTATAGATTATTCGTCCAATGTATATTTATAGAAATAACTGGAACCAGTTTCAACTAGTGTTTTTATCCAATTATATTATTGATGAAATTATCTCTATAAAAGATTTCTAACTAACGAACCTTGATCTATGAATAACGTTTACAATTATTTGTAACGCTGAAACTTTTTATAGTTCAGCAACAGAACAAAATAAATATAACTTAGAAAACAGTTGTTCTCGTTCAAAGTAGTTCCTGATATCTGGCTTAAACTCATGTGGTGCGACCAAAAGTCTCAAACAAGACCTAGTTATGAACTTACATTTAGCAAATTAGAATAGAAATAAGATCAAAATAAAAAAATAGCAAAATTGCTAAACGTTAGGCAACATAGACAATTTAATAGAAATGTCTCTACGTCTCAATAAATCTACTCCGATATTTTAAACGATACGACAAATACCAGGTCAAAAACTGAATATCAGACCAAGCTACCACTTCGTGACACGTCTTCAGAATCCTCTATGCAGTAGATTTTCTTTCTGCAACATGAATATAAATTTACTTGGAGCAATAAATCTAATTTCCAAGCAATAAATTTCTTGATGCCTTATAGCTATACTAATTAACAATATTAAAGACTGATAAAAAAGATACACAGGTCGTTCATTTTACCAAATCTGCAGTAATTAAATTTTGAAAATTTTTGTGAATAAATATTTAATGAATAAAAAATACAAAAAATTATTTACTAATAAACTTGAAGTTTTTTTGCCAATGATCTCATTCGATGGTTTGTAAGTTTGTCTGGAGGCTGCAATTCTTTTCTGAGGCTGTTTTCAGCAGCAATGTTTTTTAGTTTTTTTTTAATTCGTTTTCAAGTTTAGTCAAGTTTTGTTTTGCGAAGTTATTCAAACAATAGTTTGGTCCATATTGAGCTGTTTCTATACGCTTTATTACTTTTTTCTAAAATTTATGAGAGTGTAAGTCAACCGAAATGGCATGCTTCTATTAGTGTTGTCGTGTTTCTAGGCGGTGCAAATCAATTGAGACAATTTTCGAAACTTTTGGAAAAGATAAAGCTTCACTTAGTTTTTGCATTTAGAACAATTTTTTTCCGTAAGATCTAACAGTATCATCAAAAATTTTTTAAAAACAAGTTTTCAGTATAATGTTTTAGAAAAGGATTTTATTGTTGCAGATCTTTGGATACAGATACTGCTTCCTATATTCCTTTCTAAAGTGATAGGATAATGATCATAGATACATTTCAATATTTCAGGACTTTCAAAGTAGGCGATGGTAATTTTTGATGTAAGATGTGATCCCAACCATTTTCTTTTTTTTAGAACACGAGTTCGTTTATTAAAAGAATAATGAAGTTGTTTGATATATCTATCGTAACAATTAATAAAACCAATTTGACGACAGAGCAAAAAAAGTATAAAAAAAACTAGAAGATTGTTCTGTATAGTAACTATTCTAAAAGGGCTGCTTAAAAAAATTGACCGGCTTAGCAATTCACTGTCGTCGAACAAGTTTCTATTTTTGTAACGATCACTTTTTGTTAGCTCTGACTTTAATGTTTATAACACCAGCTGAAAATTTGATATCATTCTATCATTCTTTCATATTTCAGCAAACTACCTTTATCAAAAACTGTTTTGAACTAGTTTAGTATACAACAGGTTTTTAAAATTGTGTAATTACATCATGATTTTTCTGTTTTGACGGGAAACTGAATACAACCTCTGGTTAACCAACTCAGTTTTGTATCTTTCTGTAAGCCATCTTTCATTCAGACATAATATAACGAGCGGAGCCTCAAGACTGAGTTTCAATTCTCCAGTTAGTTTAAATTGAGCCTTAAGGGATTTAAATAATTGAATGAAAATTACTTTGTTTTTCTCATTTCTTTTGTTTAACGGCCACGCTTTTCTAACCAATTTTTCAAACATTTCCGCTGAAGTTTTCATAATAGCCTTATTTTCTGATATTTTCTGTTTGCAGCAACGCATGTCTTGCTTTCGTGTAAAAGTTAAAAAACCTAATTTTCTCGGTTCCATTTTTATGACTCCATTATTCATCTTAAGCATTCATCTATCAAGAAAAGAGGATCGGCACAATTAACCAGATTTTAGCTACGACGCGGCGAGAGGATATCATGATCTGCGTGACATCTTCTCGGACGTTCTCCATCTTTTTCTACTTTTCTACGTTATTGAAAATGAAACATAATTTTCGCAAAGTTTGACAATTTTTTCTTTCTACTATCTCAATGATTCCGTATTTGTTGGCAAGTATTCAATTGTCCATCATAAATTGTTTTTCCATAAAAATATGACTCGCCTTTCTCGTAGCTTAGTTTTATCGATCATGGACAACCTTAGCTTTTTCATTGTTCCAAGATCTTCAACTGCAATTGGCTCTACTCGCGGAAGCAAGTTTCCAATAGTTTCCTTCATCAATGTCAGAGTCAAAACCCGATACTTGAGTTTCGATTCATTGAAACTATTCAACAAGTTTATCACCACAAATAGGCTTTTGTGTTCACCTTGTCAGATTGCATGCAAACTAATCAGCTTATGACAAACAAATTTGTTATTCAAAAATAGTTTTGTAAAATACCTCCTTACACCATAAAAAGTATGCTTAGGTGAGGTAGGGGAGTGTTAAGTAGTTATGTAGCTTACTGGTTTAAACTGATTATGACAACTTGTACTTATAACCAGGGGCGGATCTAGGATTTTCTCGAGGGGGGGGGGCGGACTTTCAAAAAACTTTCGAAGTTTTGTCGACCTTTTTTTTGTAAGGTCGACCAAATTGGTTTTCCGAGCTCTCCCAAAGCACTAAAAAGTCCCTGTTTTGGCCCAAATTTCTGCGCCACAGGCAAAATTTTGAAAAACAACAGGCCGAAAAGCGTTTTTAACTAAAAATTTCTTTTTTTTTTTCGGCAAGCGCTCCCCCTCAAAATTAGTATATGTTGGCGCCCAAGGCGCCTTTAGAAAAACTTTAGGGTCCATCACCAAAAATGGAAATCTCAAATTAGTACAAAAGGGGACCCTTTGGGTCGGAAGGAGGTCGAATCCCTGAAGGCTAGCGCCCCCCCCCCCTCAAAATCCGCCCCTGCTTATAACCATTAGCGGACTTAGAGGGATGGGGGTCGGGCGATTGGGTTGGAAGCCCTCCTTCGGGGATTTGATCGCCTGACGATCCAAAAAATCCACTCCTTGTACTATTTTGAGACACCCATCTTTTGCTTACTGACCCTAATTTTGTTCTAAAAGCGCTTTTTGTGCCAATATATACTATTTTTGAGGGGGGGCGCGCGTCAAAAAAACTCGTTTATTATTTGGTCAATGCTTACATTTATTTGACCAGTGTAGGTTAGTTTATTCAATGGTTATAAGTTATAAGCCACTGAATAAATGAAACTCTTCGTTTGTAACTGTGTAGGTATGTTGCACTACGAGGGTGGGTGGCCCCGGGAAATAGACGTGGGGGATGATGAACAGAAGCAGAGGTACTGCAAGAAACTAGAGAAGGAGGAGGGGTACACGCAGACTATTCTGTCTCTGTGTGAGGGCATGGAGACCAGTATTCTGCAGAACAGTGCAATCGACATCTATGAAGACTACTTCACTGATGTCGACCAGGTCAGTTGTCTTCTGCTCCGCCCTCCACCTCCCCCCCACACACACACACACACACACACACACACACACACACACACACACACACACACACAAACACCTTAAGAGTTTTCAGTTTTTATAGCTGTTGCAGCTGCTATTATGGCCTAACGCGTAAGGTTACAATGTAAGGCATGCAGGACAAATCTGTTCACAATTGTCAGCTTGTTCACTATGCCTAGTTTCAATCCGTTACCACAAGGTTAGAATGGAAATTCAAACGGGGGAGTGGAAAAGAGCCCTTCTAGGAGCTAATCTCATACGCAAATGAACAAATATGCAGCAAATCTCAAACAATCAAATACCTTTGAAGCGCTCAAAACTGTTTGATTTTATCGCTTACTTTTTTTGCGGTTTATGAATAACGAATTCTGATTGGCTCTGATTGATTCGTCCAATCAGATTTGAGTACTCTTAAGTTTGTCTGTTTACTGACCTGTCAGCTTACACGGATGTCTACAAGTAGAGACAGGCTCTTCTGCCATCGCCCCACTCTCTTTTTTTAAAAAAATGTCTTTAAATCTGGTTAGCCACAGTCTTATCGTTCTGTTTTTTGAAATGTGAGTTAAACAACTAATTGCGAACATTTTACAAATGTGAAAAAACCAAACTAAAACTGATGTTTGTTTCTGGGCGGAGTAAAACGGTAGAATATCCTAGAGGAGGATAATAATGTTGTTCATTAGCGAGTTGTATAAAATAAACTTAATAAATGATTTTCATAAACTTTTCCGAGCTTTTTTGAATTTATTGAAATTGCGTTTCTGATCTCTGTGCAACACTTCGAGGCCCTAATTTGCCCAAATTATTTGCGGTTTAGGCAAATATTTGATTTAAAATGCAGTTTATCGCTTTTTGGAAACTTTTGGCTAAAAAATTTAGTTTTTTTTCACGCTCGGTCTACCATGGTTTAAAAAATTAGGATGGATTAGCCATTAAATTTTGGGCTATAAAATGATGCCGAATTTAACTTTCTGAAAGTGTTTCTGATTCAGACAGGAGCTGGTGCAGTAGGAGGGGGTAGTTTCGGGGGTGCCGATGAGTCACGGGGGGACTGGACACCCAAAGTGAAGAGTGAGTTCAAGGACGCCAACGATAGGTACAAATTTTCTTTAGATCATCTTATTCAGCCAATTGACAGAAATTGTGCCAGTAGACTTAAAATATAATGCATTATGTAAAGTTTTTTAAGTCAATTCTGTAAAACCTTTAACGGAATCGGACTAAAAACGTCATATCGAATTTATTATGATTTTTAAAATTATAAAATTAATATTTTTTCTTTAAATTCCTGTTTGATTTATTAAACAGGTATTATGAAAACGTTTTTTTTTCCAGATGAGATCTGTTTTTTTTTTTTTTGCTTTCCCAAAAAACTACCCGTCAGATTCTCATAAAAGTGGTACCAATGGATTCAGTAGCGTTTCACCTACCTGCCTGCATGAACTTTAGGGCAATTTTTACCCTACCCCACCCCCTACGGTCTTAGAAAAGCTTCACAACTCGGTACTTTTTCACTTTTTGCCCATTTTTTCGGAAATTTTCGATTTCCTCAAAAACTACCCGTCCAGATTTGGGATTAAGGGTTTAATCGATAGACCAGGTTATAGGAAAATCCCATGCACAAGCGGCTGGTCCCTAATTTGCTTAGGGGAAGAGCTATAGACTTAGGAAAAGTCACTTTTTTGAATTTTTTGCCTATTTTTTCGGAAATTATCGATTTCCTCAAAAACTACCCATCCAGATTTGGAATTAAGGGTTTAATCGATAGACCAGGTTGTAGGAAACTCCCCCGCACAAGCGGCTGGTCCTTAACTTGCCTAGATGAAGAGCTATAGACTTAGGAAAAGTCATTTTTTTGACTTTTTTGGCCTTTTTTCAAATCTTTCCGATTTCCTCAAAAACTACCCGTCCAGATTTGGGACTAAGGGTTTAATCAATAGACCAGGTTGTAGGAACCCCCTACACAAACGGCTCGTCCCTAATTTGTCTAGGGGAAGAGCTATACACTTAGGAATAGTCAATTTTTCGGTTTTTAGGCCATTTTTTCAAACTGTTTCGATTTCTTCAAAAACTACCCATCCAGATTTGGGATTAAGGGTTTAATCGATAGACCAGGTTGTAGGAAACTCCCCTGCCCAAGCGGCTGGTCCTTAATTTGTCTCGGGGAAGAGCTGTACACTTAGGAAAAATTTTTTAAAAAGTTTTTTGGCATTGGAACAAAGATTCAATATACTTATTGTGTGTATTTTTTAGACAATGGAATCCGCTATGCTTACGTTTTCTCGCTTTTGCTTGGTGCTATTGGCTTTGTGTTGAGTTTTTTTGTATGGTTCGAAGAAGTCCAACGAGAAGTTGCACGACTTACGCTAGTTCTCTTTAATCAGGTCGGTTTGTTCCAGAACGTTTTTGTGATGTCAGTTATAGTCAACATATTATAGTCATATTTGCAATGCTTGGACAAAATTTAATTAAATCGAAAATTAATGAGTCGTTAGAAAAATGAAAAATACTTTATTTCATTAATGTTAGCTGGTTTGGAAACACACATTTCACTTCATTCTAGTGAATAATTATTCACATTGTTGAAGCATTGTGCATATGATTTTATTTTAAATATATTTAGCATGTAACCATGCTTGATACGGTTTGCCTTGTCGCACTTTGAAAGGCCCGCTTAATTCACATTACGGTTGCCTTGTCGCACTGTGAAAGGCTCGTTTAATTTTTGTACGGTTTGCCTTGTCGCTCTGTGAAAGGCCCGTTTAATTCATATTACGGTTGTCTTGAAAGGCTCGGTTTATTTGCATTGTGGGTTTGTGGGTTTACAGCAAATCTAAATAGTCTTATTCTATATCTTGTCACACTTTCAGAAAAATGGCGCTATCGACTTGAGAAACCTGAAATTTAAAACAATTTTAAAATAATCAATATTAAAATAATCAAACAGGTCTCTCCAGCTTTCAGCTGGGCCCCTAATTCAATTTTCGGGGAAACTCGTAAATTCTACTTGCTATGGTTCTGAATTGTTTTATTGGCAAGGAATCGTTTATCCGATCACTTCAAATATATTTACGGATTAAAGAAAATGCTTCATTTTATTGAAGAAAATTGATATAAAAAACCAAGAAATCAAAGCCTAATTTAAAACGCTTCAGATTAAAAAAACATCAATCTGGTTGAACAACCGGGTTGAATTTAAATAGATAAAGTCATTGCTGATTCAGCGTTGTTTTGTGAATAATTAATTCAGACAAAACTAGCTATGTTTTTTAGGTGATTCAGTGTTTTTTTAAGTACGTTTTTGTCCGCGAGCAATCGGCAAATAATAAGCGATGTTTAATCAATGCTTCAAAACACTAACTGTTTTACTTATTACTGAAGATTATTGCAAAAAAATAACTGCTTTTACATAAGATTGCATTCTTTTTGGTTGAATACTTAGGTTTATTTTACCTGTCTTCTGAGATAGGGACTACTTTTGAGTTTATGTAAGTGCTATCAATTGTTCTAGATAGAAACCAATTTGAGTTTATGTAAGTGCTATCAATTCTTCTTTCTGTGTGGGGACCTGCTGTCGTGACCTTGCGATCTCTAATGTCCGATGGGATCTGAAATAAAAGAGTGCAGTAAGATTTCGATTTGATGCCTAACAGTTTGTCTACAATACAACTTATCAACAACCTTTTTGATTTTCTAAACTTACGACTTTAACATGGCGCAGCCAGCAGAGAAAAAAA